CTCCACGCAAAGTGTTTGCTGATGTTACCGACAATTCGAATTTGCACGAGCACAACCTCTCGGGTGGTGCACCAGACTGGCGGGTTTGTGACGAAGGACTCAATATTGAAGGCGAGTGCATGAATCGTTAGTGTGAAGCATACGGAGAGATGGTCATTTATCGAAATGGTTTCAATTCATTTAACCTCATGGATGATAAAGATGTCCGATGTCCGCTTTGTTACAACGACTTCAAGCCATTAACCTGCGGGTTTTACAAGTGCGTGTGGAAGTTTGAGGGCGTGCGCTCAAGTGACGGATTTTTTGTCAGCTCACCATGGCGAGATGCCGGTGGGAATAAGTACCATCGCTTTGACGCGAAAGAAGATCATGGCTCTGTCGAATGGGATAGTCTGCTGATTATAGTCAAGTCAAGACGCGACGCTACTGCAGTGAAAGTTCCCGTGTGTACGCGCTCCAGTGTTGTTCGGAAATACAACGTGTGCTCTATTTGTTGGTCACCATTCGGCTCAATTGCGAGAAGAAATGTGACCACTGCGCAATGTGGTCACAGCTTTCACAGTGCATGCATCGGGAAATGGTCGGAGTGGTGCAAGAGATTTAAGAAGACTAGGCGAGGAGAAACTGCATGAATGTTTTTTTGCGTCCGAAATCCCAGATATTATTCAGAGAAGCGCACGGATGAGGCATAAAACGGAAAGCAACAACGGAAAATATATCGATTTGAATGACGAAGAGTAAGGGCGATAGCTACAAAGTCGTGGTTGGAACCCGTGGGGATGGAGGGAGTGAGTAGCAAGGCGAAATGGCCGGTACTTGGTCTAGCAAGCAATTGAGGAATGAAGGCGAAACCTCAAAACTATTTTTTACCGATAAATTGACCACTTTCGTGCTCAGCTCGGCCTGTCGAAAGTGTTCTTCAAGCACAGTGGCGGATGCAGTAGATGAACACACTTCGAAAAATCCCAACGCAACCGATCAATTTAACACACCTGCCGCCTGCCCTTTCAACAACCTAGCTAATGAACAATTCATAGATCATGAACAATTCATGCAACTGACTGCCATCTCCTTGCCACCCACTCAGCGCGTACACCTAAAATTTCCAGTGTCTTCATTTACGTCCTCATGCCGAGACCGTAGGCTCAGTTTCTGGTCCAACAACAGCCCCAATAGCTGGAACCTTTTCGTGCTCCGTGTTTTTCAACACTTCGGCCTTATCCGCCTCGTTATTATCCGCCGGTTCCTTGTTGTCTTCATCCTCATCCTCGCTATAGTCTATCGTAAAGACACCCACAAACTTGGAATCCTTCGCTTCTGAACCTTCCACGTTGGGGTCTTCAGGCTCTTCCAGTGCAGCACGTAGCATCTCGTGTGTCACCTCCTCGTTCTTCTCTTCCTGATCATCCGTAGAGGATCCGTGGTCACTGCCGCCGTCTTCCACAGTCGCCGTCTCAGACGATGAGCCACTGTCGTTCTGGTTGCTCGCACTCGCAGCGGACGACCGTCGTCTCCACCCCCACTTCTTGGGGATTGAAACCTCAGACAGTTTACTCCTCATCGATGTAATCGAGTTCCGAGAAAGTGACAGCTGACGTCTAGACGTACTGCCGTTACTACCGACACTAGTGCTGCTGGCACGATTCAGTTCACTAGTCGAGACGATGCTGGCGTCTCCCTCTCCACCATTCACAGGCATCGACGTAGTAGTAGGCATCGCTTTCTTACGTCTCGGCTTCTTCTGCTTCGACTTCTTTTTGAGCGGATCTTCACCTGTACGCAGGATGGTATCGTAGCGACAATACACGCACTGGTCTGCTACGTGGTTCAGCAATTCTTGAGGAGACGAGCCAGCGCGATCACGCATGAACGCGTGCCAAGACGAGTATCCTCCGTCAAGTGTACTCACGAATCGGAAGCCACGCTTCTGGAAGAACAGAGCAGCCTGGTTAAGACAGTCTGTGTCCAGTCGTACAGCGTCTCGAATGCTCGTCTTGACATCTTCTGACGTCACTAATTCAGGCGGAATACCGACTCCATGACCCACCAACACGACGTGAACCTGAGACTTCATCGGGTTAAACGCCTCCATGCTCTTCGCGATCAACTCCGGCGAGTCAAACACCGAAGGATCCAACGTATACGCGACCGGAATACGTCCACTCTTCAGGTCTTCGGAGCTGCGTAAGCCTCGACAGTCGACGACAAAGAAGCGGAGATTGCCATTACCCGCTTGCTGGTCACCAGGCTTCTCGCCGCCCATAAGTTGTACTCCAACTTCTTCCACACTCACAGGCAACGCAAAATACGCTGAAGGCGGGTCATGTTTCTCTGCTGGGTGTTCCCACTGAGTCTTGCCCGTCTGCGTATGATACCAGAAGATCTTTCCAGCAATCGAACGTGACTCTTTCATGACCCATTGTGACATATCCACTGCAGCTTCAGCTGTAGACTTCCGGTCATTACTTGACGGAGCGCTGATACCTCCAGACGGCGGACCATTCATGCTGCTACTGGACTGTGTTCGCACCTTCTTAGCCGCCATACCAGCTCCTGAACCGTAAGCGATCTCGATGGCCTGACGCGACGAGCATCGGATATCCGCTGTACCTTCACGTTGCGAGCACTTGTACGTCTTTGGGGTCTTACTACGCAGACGAGACGCTGAAAGACACAGGAAGCGGACGTTCTCTTCGTCTGCAAAAGCCTTCAAGTCGAATGTGGCTCGAATTTGGTCCTGTACTTCCTCAGTTGACGTACAGGCGGTGAGTACTTCTTCACGTTGAATTAGCGCCGCGATCACAAAAAATAGTCCGAAAAGCGAGTCTCCAGTCAGCAAATATTGGTCCATCACGTACACAAACGCCGCAGGAGGGACCACTTGGTACAGGTGTCCAAGCAAAAAGTCCGCCGCAAAGAGCTTCCCGGCCACACTCCACTCATTGCCGCACCATTGGTTCAAAAAGTGCGCAAGTTGTGGTGCATGATAACTCAATAACTGCTCCACCAATTGCTGTCGTTCTCGTCTCAATGTCTGCGCTTCTTCTTCATCTGCACGACGTTTACTCTCCTCCGCCAGGGACGACGTCGAGTCCATCGAACTCGATCTCTCCAGAGCCCCTCTCTGTCCAGAGAAAGCCTCCTCCATACTGCTGCTACTGCCTCTGTTACTGCCCAGTCCTCCTCCCACAGTACTCAAGCCTGGAGAGTCGGCGAACAAGCTGTCTGCTACCACAAAATGGGGCAGGAAATGGGCACAGTACTGGTAGAAGCAGTCGTAGATGGTAGGGAGCGGCATCTTCAGCAGGAAGAACGGGGCTACCACACGAGCCATTCCCGTGGAATACGCCACACTCTTTGTGGTCAAGAACCACATGAGCAGCACCTCCAGCTCCTGTTGAACCCGCTCTCTACTCTTCAGGTCAGTAGGTTCGAGGATCTCGGCCACATCGCCGCACTCGTCCACGAGCAGAGGGTCTCTAGGGAGTTTCCCTAGTCTTTGCAACATTCGGTCGAATTCCTGGGCTGCAGAGCCGTGCTGGTTGCGTTTGTAGACGTTCAGTAGGACCTGCCAGATCTCGCCACGTAGAGGGTCACATTGCGGCGGCAGACATGGGTACACGCTCGAGAGCACGCAGTTCTTGACCTCCTCCACGCCTGGACGACGTGTGATGGGTCTTTGGGCGATTTCAGCGGCGCTAGAGGCCGCAGAAGCCGACGATCCGCTCGAGAAGAGCTGCAGGAGGCTCTCGGCGAGACTGCTCCGCTCCTGGGACGATTTAGAGGCCCAGACTCGCATGGATCGACGCGTCAGGATCTTGCACAGAGCCTCCTGTTGCTGGTGGTGGCGATCCGAGACCGGGGACGACGCGCGAGCGGACGGAGACGCCATGAGCGACGGAGAGTCTGGCACTGGAAGACGTTACAGCGATAGTGAGGGGGAGAGGAGAGGGGGCTTGTATTAAGGATGTGCGTTTGACTTGGAATTTGTATTTCTCCTTAGTGAAGCCAAGTGAAATATGGAAAACATGTCTGATTTCGGTGCATCGTTTCTGTCTGTATGGGACAATCACTCAAACTAACGATGTAGCCATGTCGGGAAGTTGAAGATGGCTACAATTTCTTGTGAAGAGCTACAAGAAGGTGGTGAGCTGCCGCGAACGTATCTACAGGCTGTACCATGTCCATTCGCAGATGAATGGACGTATTAGCCTCGATACTAGAAGATGTCGATGATGTCGAGACGTGGCGAGGTTCACATCGAGATACCACGATTCGGAACGTGTTCCCTACTACTCGTTCGAGTGTGGTGCGCTTCTCCGCTAGAGGCAGTTGCACATAGTCGTCAGACGGGAGACCCAGTAGACTCTCCACTGTATCTCCTTGACACAAGACCAGCACTGGAGACGTCTGAGATCGCCCGTTCTCTAATGTCACCGCCAAGTCGCGGTAGGTCTGTACTGTGTCTTCCAATCCGAAAAAAACTTCCTGACAAAAGGAGCACTTCCACTTAGGCAGTCCGGGTGCACTTGGATCTCTCGACATCATTTCCAATGGTCGATAGCAAGATTTATGCGCACACGTAGCGGATTGTCCCTTCTCACAAGTTTTGTCGATTGAACTTGACCTTCCACTGCCAGGAATCAGCCAACCGACTGATGCTACAGTCATTTCGACCATCGCGAGTGGGTGCATTGCGACACTATGAAGAGTTGTTGACCGATCCAGCGTAGTATTCATGAGGCCCGAGGTCGTGTTCACCACTGTCAGCTTGGAACTATTACTGAATAGGGACTGCTTTCCGAAAATGCTTTCCCAATCCGAACACAGCACGACAGTGGAAGACGAACAAGTGTTGTACGCATTCGTCGGGAAGGCAAATTCAGCTGGAGCTGATGCAGTCGATGGTATAAATGCACGCTCACGGAACCGTCTCACTGGTTTGGACTGGATATCCATCGCCACAAGTCCATCTAAGAAGACGCTCTGTCCTGGGAGAAGACGTAATGCAGTCAATGCATTCCCACCAGTGACTTCAATCGTCAGTAAACGCTTGGAGGACGATATGTACACTTGAAGCATCACGACTAAATAGTACTTGGATACAATCGAGCGGTCCAATGGAGGAGGCATTTTTGTGGTCATATCACCTGGCTGGTTTGTCTTCGCATCGTAATACGCGTAAAAGAACGCTGCAAGTAGCGGGATGCCGTGTGAGACTTTTATGCTTCTCACATGAGCATACAACGAGAAGTTGTTCCAGCCTGATTTGATCTCTTCCAAGCGAGATAATGGCCGCTCTATCTCGGTGTGGTCTTGAAGTGCCGGGGTCGTTGTTTTAACAGTACCAACTCGACATGGCTTGCAGAATAAAACCGTAGCACTGCCGTACTCGAAGTAGTATACGAGTCGCTGTTGAGAAGAATATTCGTTCAAAATGTGAACAATCTCGGCGTCATGCTGGTCGCACACGTGCACAAATGGATGGAAAATCGAGAGCGTGTCGCCAACTCGAAACAGACGACTGAGTGCCACTTGATCGTCCCATAGAACCATCAAGTGCAGACCTTGTGTTAGTTTCTGGGTGTTCGGCGTCGCCCCAACAGGAACCCGTGAATTAATCTGATCAATTTCGCCCAGTAGAATAACTTGTCGATGCACATACAGCGGCGTCTGGCATGGTCGAATTGCGCCGATATCAAGTACCTTGGCCTTCACCATCAACTGCTGAATAGCAGCAGGGTCTTGAGCTCCACCAACCAACTGATCCACTTGGTTCAGACTAATGGAATCAGCTAATAGCTTCCGATCCAGCGGTCTCGATTCATCCAGTCGTGTAGTTAGGAATGACGTTGGTAATAGTGTAAACTTGACTCGATCATTGTTTGCCATGCCCACTTCCTTCCTCTCCAATAATTTTGCATTGGTGAATGCTATCTCACGTGCTGACTGGAAAGGGAACGTGGCTATACTGTAAACAGCAGTACGTAAGTGCCCCCATTATTATCTGTATAACACACCATTCACCCACCTACTAGGTTCATACTGCATATTACTATGCAGGAAATCTACGCACGACCGGAATCTCTGGTGCAAATACCTACAGTCACACACTCAGAGATACTACTACAGCATTGATACAAATATTATACAGCTACGCACATGTGAGCCGTAATATCCTTCGCGTTCTCCATTTCAATAGTCAGTCGGTGGTTGCCGTAGCCTGCGACTTTGGCCTGTAGAGCCTCCTGTTCCCCTTCAGCCAACAGATCCCCCATGTCCTCGTCGTCTCGAATCTTTCTCTTCTTCCTCGGAGCTCCCACTTCTTGCTCTGTGTTTCCAGCCTCACTCTGCTTTAGTAATTTGGCCAGTTCCGTGACCACCACCGCCTCAGTGAGACCATCTGGATACTCCTCGATGAGCCGCAATAGCTTCGAGAAGACCCAGTAGAAAGGGATTCGGGGGATCTCCGCACCAATACCGCGCTTTCGCTGCCATAATGCCCGCAACTTCTGCTGCACGAACAGTACTTGTCGCTCTACAAAGTCAGAATCTTGCTGGCGAGCTGCAGCGCTCGCCGGCTGCTCCAGCTCCTCGATTGCGTCGAGCAGCTCCATAGATCATCGGTTCTTACAAAATCGCACAGCCCCACATTTTCAATTATATTTTTCAGATTTACCTGTTGCTTTGTTATGTGCACCACAAATTCAATTATTGTGCAGTTCGATTTTTATTTAAAAAAAAAAAAGACGATCCCCTCTGTAGTAATCCCTAGTCTTGGAATACTCCTCAACAGCGTCTCCCAATGGCCAACCAATAGGGATGGCAGCATAAAATAAGGCTTATTTTAGTTTACATTTAGTATAAAGCTGATTTTCCGATTGTCAAGTTGACATTCAATAAGTCAGCTTGACCTTGCACCAAGAGTTTGCGTTGGGTGTGAGCGCCGACATAGCACTTCAGAGCTCAAGCCACGGCCGTCCATACTTCTCCCCAACCAGCGGCAGCGAGGATGATTGAAGTAAAGACCACGATGGAAACCTAGACAAAGTCAAGCAAGAAGAGCACGACTATGGAGACGTAGACCCGCGAGGAGACGGAAGCCGATGACCTGGCCATAATATCTGCGTCCTTGTACGGCGGCATGAGAGCCATCCGCTCGAACACGAAAGCTGTTGGGGTGCCCAACGAGTCGTTGACGACGGATGTTTTCCAGTCCGAGGAGGTCGACGACGGCAGCATCGTGGACGAAGACCGTGAAGACGACGACGCGCAGCGAACGCCGGCGGCGAGCTGGTTAAGTCGGCCGAGGTGGAGACCACGATGACGAAGTCGGATAAGATGAGCACGACTGTGGAGACTGAGATCCGCGAGGAGACGGAGACCGATACGAGCAACCTGGCCACAACGTCTGCGAGCAAATCCGTGTCCGTCATGCCGACCACCCACATCAACAAGTGCCCGCATCCGAGATGTTTAAGAGCCCCTGTAACGAGTGGAGATGACTGCGTCTGCTGCCAGTGCTATGGGTATCATATCGTGCAGTTGAGGTAAACGCGGGGTGGTGGAGACCGCGCTTACAACGAAGGAGACGACTTGCGGGTGCCGATGCAACTGGACTGATCGTATCCCTGGAGGCTGCGTTGCCGAAAGCGGTAGACGTACCAGGACCGGAACGAGGACGATCTCAGCGACGAAGTGGGAATGCTTAAGAGTGTTTTGAGAGTTTGATTTATCTGTGGACTATATTTGCGTTCACAAGCACTTGAGTTTTACCATCTAGCACTACCTGGTGCAGATCTTTGTGCCGTTCGTTTTTGCCTCCTTACGTCTGGTGTGAAGAACGCAGCTGGCTCCATCCTTCTACTCTCTGCGCCAGAGTGTTGAATGACAAACTCACTCGACCCTACATTTTGGTGAGGAATGGGCCTTGAAGGCGAGTTGTGATCACGGGAACGCGGCACGTTATCATCATCACTGGAGTCACTTGAATCAATTTCGTCACACACATCTGGAAACACGTCAAAAAGACGGTGATTGGTGTCCTTCGCTTTCAAATTGCAGTAAACAAACACCAGCTTATTCACCCGCTCCGGGGACAGACGATTTCGAGTTTTGGTATGAATGAAGCTGTGAATGCTCCAATTGCGTTCGCTCGATGCAGATGAAGTTGGAATGGATAGCATGCGCCTAGCAAAGAGCTTGACTGGGTCACAGACATTTTGCTGAAGACTCCACCAATTAAATGGTTCGAATTTAGCATGCTTCTTGCGTGTTTCTTCTGACCAGTCCTTTTTGTCAACCGCAAAGTTTTCCAGCTGACGATGAAACATATTTTCCGTCGCGTCCGTCACAAGCCCAACACGCTTAGCTAACGCAACAGCCTCGTCAACAACATCGATATAGTTTGCAGGAGACCTCGGAAGCGTTTGATCAAATAAATTTGCAAGCTCCAACTCTATCGACCATATCTTTTTGCGCCGCTTGTCAATGATGGATAACACTTGCACTTGGACATCCTTAGAACAGCCTGGCAAGGCCGTCTTATACACGGGATGCGCACGTAGCACATCAAAGCTATGGATAATCTTCGATGGGGAGCAGTCATCGTGTTCAAATGCTGCGAGAGCATCATTGACTGGACTAATCAACTCCAGAACTGCGTTTGCTTCTTTCCAAAAGGAACGCAAACTTAAAATCGCGAGAACTTCATCTAACTCACTACCAGCGTATCGATCAAGTATGGCCTGGTTAGAGAATAGATCAGCCTTGATATCTTTATTTTGCACAACATTGGATATACACTTATGGTGCGTATACCACCGCGTATCCACTGGCAGAGAAAGTCGACGTCGTTGTTCTCCAGCCCTCCGCGTCCGAGATTGCCGCTCTTTAAACATCGACCACAAGCCCAGTCGCACCTTAAAAAATCTCGTCAGGGTTTTCGCGTTGCTGAGCACCTTGCTAAAATACACCAACTTCATCATATCTTTTATCAACAAGTTCATTCCGTGTGCTCCACAACCCGAGCAAACAATAGCATTGCGCTCTTTAGTCACCAGCTCCCATGCTTTTTTTCATGTTTCGTGCGTTGTCTGTTACTACAGCAGACATTGCCCCCTCTCCAATGAATGACTCCAGTTCAATGATTGTAGAAAGTATTGCGTTCGCAATATTCTCTCCACTGTGCTCCTCAGCAGCAGTACACACCGACTTCCAAAATACAGCAGGACATCGAGGATTGACAAACATGAAATTGGTAATGCTGTCACCCCTCGTGTTAGACCATCCATCAGTTACTAGGGCCAAATTGCCCTTTCCTTTCAATGCTTCAATAGCGAGCTGTTTTTCACGTTCATAAGTACGATCAAGCAGGGAGCCTGCTAGTTGCCGGCGCGATGGAAGTTCATAATCGAACATGGCACGAAAAAAAGGGTCTTCCACAACACGAAACGGAATTCCAGTGACATAAAATGCCATCGCTACGCGAAGTTTCTTTTCGTCAACAACATTCTTCCGTGCGGCACGTCTAGCAGCAGCAAGTCGCGGAGACTTACGCGCAGAGTGCCTAGCGGATTCAAGGCTGTCAAACAGTCTCTTGTTGACCGTGGAGGGGCTGCGAAGATGCAGCGACGCATACGACTGCTCGTCCGATGCCTGCTGCGATGGTTCCAGCAGCTTCTTTGCTTTCTGCTGCTGAAGGTTGTCGTAATGACGCTTCCATCGAGCGTTTTCTTCACTTCCTAGCTCTGTACAATTGATGGCATGACGAAGCATATTTTCAGAAGGCATCTCGTTCTTCAGTTCTGCGTGACAGGCCTTGCACTCCGCCACAGGATGGGCTCGAACACCTTTTTCGCGGCGCTGTGTTTCCACAAATAGCTCCCAAATCGGAGAACGTTGCTTGGGCATGGTGGCAGGCTGTCGGGAGTCGAAGCGGTGCGAAGGCTTGTTGTGAGGCTCGGAAATCTTTGTGAAGTGAGCTGCTGGTAGTGTGCATCAGAAACCTTGAAGTTCCCTTAGGTACGAAAATAATCCTTAGCAAAGTCTTAGAATCAGCCATGTAAGGCTTACGTAAACTTTAGCTAAGCTCGACTTGCCAACCCTACCAACCAAAGTTATTATTCTCACCATTCAGATGCAAAACAGATATACATTGAGATTAAATATTCTTATTCTGGGGTGCTAAATTATCGGAGCAATACTTGAACAGTGCGTTCTTGCTATTAAATCCGTTGCGAGTGTTGAACCGATAAAGCTATCCATTTGACCACTCTAGAAAGAGTCGCACCCCTGACGGTAACATTCTCCTCTTCACACCAGGAGACCCAACAGATAAGGCCCTAATCATAATATATGGCGCACTATTCTAAGGCCAAGTGCGAGACCTAAGTAACTCTTGAGCCTTATGGGTGCTCGGCCGGAGAGAGCATCTTGGCGTGGGGAGTCAAAACTGGCAATAATGGAAGAGAAGCCCAGAGTGAACCGTAATCGTCCCCATTGCTAAATCTGTGCTTTGTCCAAACTACAGATACTTAGATCCGTTCTTGTGGTATATTCAGGATAGGAATACCCTCAGACAGGAATAAAATGATGCCTCCCAGCGCTATGATTTCTGTTGCTTTGTTATGTACACCACATTTGGTATATTTTGGGTATATATATCTACAATGTGAAGTACATAGGAATGCAACAAACATGTACTACCCCCTAAAGTACCTACTATTTTTTATTAAAACAGTTTTAAGAAAGAGTAGGTATGTATCCACATTGTAAAAACATACCCTATGGACCACAGGCTATGGTGCAACCAGGAACGGCACGCTGTACTGTTTTACGATCCAGAGCCTCGACGTTGTATATCGGAATCATGGGATGATAGCAACGTAATCCGAGGTTATTTGCGAAAATTCCGGAAGGGGGGGCACGGAGTCGGACACGGTCTTTGAACGCCATTGCCATTAACAATCGACACGACGGGTGTCTTTGCACTTTTGATAAAAACTTTTTTTGAAGTATCGGTATGCATTAAAACTCTGGTAAAGTCAATATATATTCACGTGTCATATACAGTAGAAGCTGGTCACAAATTGTGACTTCAAACGTCTGGTTGCACGTGGTTGGGTAAAAAAAAGTTTGTTGCTTCAGCAAATGCAAATGCTCCTATTAAAGTATCAGCAGATTGGTAGGCCCATAAACGACGAAGTACAAACATTACTCATGCCCCCATCGTCCAAACAAGCAAGATAGCATTCGTGACATGCCTTTGCGTCGTGGAACCAGGGTAGTTCACACGGTGCTGTCACTTCTTAATTTCACCCGCGTCGACAACCAGCGCTACTGATATCCACGATGAATCTCTATGTAGTTCTGTGGACTAGCCTAGCAGTCTTTGCTGTTGTACAAGCCCAAGATGCTAACAACCAAACCTCCCAGGTTGACGTGGGCACCACCGAATTGCAAGCGGGATCGCAAACTCAAGGGTATGTTGGAACACCTGAGCCAACCAAGAGGTACATCGATTTCAGCAAGGTGGACATGTCAGCAACCGTCCCCCAGAACGGGACGATGAGCCCGGCAAGGCCGGTTCAGGAAACGAATCCGCCGACACCAGTACCCACTCCACCACCGACCCAAGCCCCAACGCCGGCCCCGACACCCGCTCCAACGCCAGACCCCGGTCCGTGGGTGACGAAAACTATCGGCCACGATGATGTGAAGCCGTTCCCTCAGCCCGAACCGGTCACGATCTCAGAGAAGGCTGGTGTCAAGTTCAAACCTCAGATTCAAATCCGGACGGGATGTGAGCCGTACCCTGCCGTGAACGAATACGGGGAGACCAGCGGTGGTCTGAAAACTTCTGGTAAATCTAGGGGCAATTGCGGTGGATCTGGTCACGGCTCCCAGGTGTACGGCCGTTCGACGTGGATCGAGGGTGTGTGGGCCATCATGTACTCGTGGTACTTCCCGAAAGATTCTCCATCGCCCGGAATGGGTCACCGCCACGACTGGGAGTATGTCGTCGTGTTCATCAACAATCCTGAGGTCCAGGAACCAAAGATCCTTGCCTGCTCAGTGGCGTCACATGGCGGCTACAAGAAATTCAACCCGTGCCCGCCATGGGTGATTGACGGCACCAGTCTCAAGGTTCGATACAAACACGCTTGGCCGATGAATCACGACCTCGATACTACGGGGGATGGTGGTTCATTCCAAGATCTCATCATGTGGGACCAGATGACGAACGATGCCCGCAGGGCTCTCAACTCGGTTTCGTTCGGCAAGGCCAACACACCGTTTATTGATGGCAGGTTCCGTAAGAAGCTTGAGGACGCCTGGCCCTTCTAAGTTGCCAACTTGGTGCTCTGGCGAGGTAGGAGTCAGGAAGTTCCACAAGTAAGTGCACATATTCAAACTTGTAAGGCGTTATACCTAAGGTGGGAAGTACGTACTCACTGTCTACCACTTGGTTCGTGTACTCACCGTATTGTTGTGACTTGAATATCGCTGCAATCGTCTTCCGCGAAGCTTTGATCATGAGTCCATGCGATCGATATAATGCCTGTCCAAAACCTAGCGTCGAGTAGTACGTGACGTCGACAACACAACATTAATGACTTGGAAAAAAAATGGAGTCATGGAGAGGAGACTCTGTACCTGTAACTTGGTAACCGCATGTGTGTTTGACGTGTAATCACTTCACTCTCAGAAAGATCTTGTACCGCTTGGTAATACCAACTCCGATATTTAAGTTTGACCATTTAAGTGTTGTACCGGTACTGGAAACGCAGGAATTGGCAGCCACAACAAACTATTAATAATTTCACGGTACTGTGTAGATCGAAAAGCGTATGTAACTGGCATAAAAGGTTTCAGCGAATTTTTTTTGTGGCATTTTGGCTCGGGATCCTGGGCTATTGCACCAAATTTTCGTATATGTAGGCTCAAATAGTTTATCACGGCCTTTTTATTTTTATAGAATAATTAGCGTTGTAGTTGTTTTTCACTAAAATGATAAAAATAAAATATTGTGAAAACTGACTTTTACTTCTGTTAGGCACGTATGGAACCGTACAAGGCGTAATTCCCTTGGCACCAAATACCTCTTGCAACTCTTAATAACGACCCTAGCCAATTGAGTCCTTATATTTTGTATTCGTGGTGTTGGGGTTATGGTGGTGAGTGCATATCGTATCGCCTTGCACTTCGAAGCAATAATATGGTTTGTTTTGCGAAATTAAATACTATTGATAATCGATTTCTGCAAATCTGAGGCGATCGTGGATGGCAACTTAAGACCTTAGTGTATTTAATGTTCTAGAATACCGGTAGGTAGAGTTTTGTCTTGTGATCCTAAATGAGAAAAAGACGAGCTTGTGTTTCATTTTGCGGAATAGGTGTCACTAACGTTAAGAGAGCTATATTGGCGGCTCGAAGGTAGCTCTCCACCTAAAGTGACCGCTGCCTCTAATGCAGTCCCCCCCCCCTTGGAAAGAGTGGTACAGATCTGACTACGATAGGACGCTACTCTTTTCTCACTTTCATATCAAATACATGTACCCAGTTATACTGTAACAGCATGGATCGACGAACCAATCCTTCCATAGCTAAAGAAGTTGTTGGGTTGTGTCGAAAACCTGTCGTCTTTATGCTACAATCTATCCGATATGCCGTGTACATGTATCGATTATGCCACCTGAATGACAATGAAACGCCCATTTATGAATGCCTTGTTGCACTGGCAACTTGCAGCGGCACCAGATAACCGATGTCGACGCGTTCTGGTTTATATTTTGGCAGTGATGAAATTTTCACTTACTTATTATGGCTCCTCAGCCTCCCATTGTATATGATAATAGGCATTATCAACAGTATACCCAGCTCTATTTGTCCGGAATACTATTGTGCCACCTTGCAATCATAAACGTTATTTTATGCCTCAGATTTTTACATAATGCTATTTTTAATACATTGATTTACTAATGGACTGAATACAACAGGTGCAATAACGTGTAACACTACAGCGTAACGACCTTGTCAGCAAGTTTATCGTGACGAAAATGCATTTCTTAAAAACAAATCATGTTTGAACTGTTATTTTGATTGTAGAAAAAAAAAGTCAATATAACTTAATGCCGTATCCAGCTAGTGGTATTGAAAATCTCCTCTATTACAGGTTATACAGTGAACGTTTTCGTTACATTGTGCTTTGCATCAACTTATAAATAGAACCTCTAAAACAACGACAAATCTTTTTCTTGAATCTAAGCTAGAATATAACCCAACGTTAAAATAAGTTAATCATACTCGGTGACAAAGCAAAACCACAGCGACAAGGCAATGCCCGGCTACTTCTTCCCCAGCTTGTAGGCCTGAACAAGTGCTTGCCTGCACACTGTCCTGCTCCTTCACGAGCCAATCGGTAAGTAGCTCAGGTCTATTCTCTTTCGAAGCGGGATGCTTTTCTAATTCGCTACGTGTGCTAGTGCGACAGTGGGATTGCCATTGCCCGACAAACTGCAAGTCCAGCTCCACGTTAAGGTTGGGCAGCCATACATGAGTAGTAGAACGACGTATGAGCCTCCCACTACCTTTGATTTCTCACACAATGATGGATTCGGCAAGTAAGTGTCGATTTCAGCGGGAACGCTCTCTCTGGCTCGCTTTGTCAAGACTTTGCGTTAAGGCCGAGGTCAAAACGAAGAGCACGGTGTATAGTAGTCGTCGAAACATTTAGTAGTGACGGAAATGTAGACTGGATTGAGACTTGAAGCTCTTCAATAGGGAAGCATGAGTGCTCCTCTACGACACCTTCGGCGAACTTAATGAATTCTGTCGGCCATCGTGTCTTCCTTTTAATTCGTGTGTTCGGCATCACATTACCTCTACGACGAAACAGTTAACCACAACGAGAAATAGACCGCGTCGAGACCCCCATAACGGACGCAATGACACTAAGGTCAATGTCGTAGATGTAGGTCAGCACAATCGATCTGTCGAATGTCGATAAAATTTGTCATCTTCTGGAATGTAGCTGCACGGGCTTAAGAAAGAGTTAGAGTGTACGACGTTGGTTTGGCGCTTTTACTACAGCCATTCAACGAAAACACTCATACGACAACATTAACTATTCGAATAAATGGTAATACAACGTTAATTCGATGATTACGGTAGGTAAATCAATGTTGGAATATTTTTCAAGATTTGATAAAACAACGAGTTAGGACATCGTTTAGACAGAATGTGTGCAAAGCACAATATATATTTACTGTATAATCTCGAGTTGTACATATCGCACTTAACCAAGGTTCTAGACGAAAAACTCGTTTAAGTACTGTACTATGGGGTTTGCAGCTTAAGGTTGTAAGAAGGCGGTTCGTCCCAGCTTAAGTGCGATTTGCCATCTATAACAGATATTCTTGACAAAAAGAGCTACTATGGAGTCTTCCTAGGTCAAGTGCCACTTAATGAGCTCAAGCTTAATTGTGGTTTTTGTCTACAAACTCACATATGCTTTGTTATTAATGACAAACTTCAAATTAAATGCTTGCCCTATTAGAGAGCAGTGAGACTACGAAAAATAGACCACGTATAGAACTCTTTAATTAGTATTCGACCATGGCAGTAAGATAGCACTTGGTAATGACCCCAACCAAGGCGCTAACTTTGGTCCTACTTTTTTGCCCAGTAATTACCATAGTGGTGAGGTTAAACTGGCCTGATCAGTCGTACTTTTATTTAAGAATATAAACAAGTCTCTGGCCTTCTTTCTACAGTTGGACACGCACCCTTGACGGGGTATGCATGAACTGAGTTCATGCCTTCCCATGATGCGTGGGCAACAAGAATAATTTGAGCGGTACCCTCGAAACCACTGGTACAAATGTGAGCGTCAAGGGCTGTAATATAATACAAGTACATACCATGCATATCTTTCATGTATTTTGCTGAATGCCACGGGTTGGGAGTCCAAACTTGGGACTGATTTTCAGTCATTGAACATCCTTCATGTACCGCAAAATCGAGACAGCATTCCCAGATCACGGATGTTATTTTGGTGAACGCAGAGCCATGTGATGATGAAGCCGTCAGAATTAATCGTATTGAGTGACTGGGAATAATAGAAAGGTGTCGCTTGAAGCAGCCCGTTTCGTTTTCGGCACAGGTACAATCGCAAGATTCTCGGTGTGGATTGTACATGTTACATTCGTGGATATACAGTGGTGCACCTCATTTTCGACACCGGTATGCCTCTATAACCTTCAAAATTTTATGATTCCGCTCAGTGCATTGCGCAAATCGTTTGCCATCACCGTTGGCTGAATTAACCGCAATGGTTTCCCCTCCTCTGACACGTCGCGCCGCAGCGACCTGACGCTACCGAACAGACGAGTATAAAACTGAAGCTCACCTTATTTTTTGCTGCATCATACCATGGCACGTCGCCCCTCCACCTATTCTACGCTAAGTCTCGCTGACAAGCAGACGATATGCTGCAAAGCTGCTGCTGAGCCATGGTGATCAGTAACAAAAGTTTCTACGTGGTCATCCACAAGCTTCCACCAAATACAACTGCTGCCTTGCATCCGATGGATCAAGGGATCATCAAGAGCCTCAAGGATCATTACCGGACAACAAAGTAAGAAGCAGAGCTGGACATGTTCTATAGGGGCGAAAACTATAAACCAGTCGATATTTATACAGCCATGAAGTGGTGCTCAGAAGGCTGGTCTAGTACTTCGACGAAGACAATTAGAAACTGCACAGCGGAAAGATGGATCTGCGATATCTACTGAATTAAAGTATTAAAAAACAGTACACTTGGCCCATCTGCGTTCCTGCATAATTTTTCGCCGTTGGCAGACTCTATATGGTCCACCCTGTCGAAAACGAGGTGCACCACTGTACCTATAACAGCTGGTGAACATTACTACACACGACCAAACCGTTCCGCCCCGCATGAACATACGTCGTTTCGATATTAAATTGAAACAACCCCTAAATGTTAAGCGGGGAGGACTGTGGGCCCGGTTGTTCATTGTTGCAAGGAGGCCTAGCCTGCTTTCGATCATGCGCAACCACCAACAGGAATTTCGAAAGAGGAGAGCACGCAGTCATGAGTCCATTTTTGTGCGTGCTTCTGCGGTATTGCGCTTGTGTTAAAAGCCAAATCGGATAGGCACGACGATCGTAACGTTGTAGTAGTAATCTTCCGATCACGATTAATTCTTTAATACACCAATACCGGTAATGGCCATAAACTGCTCTTCAAAGATTCATCGCACATCCTGAACCACATGGCTCTGCAAAACAGCAAGAAAACACTTGACGATCTGGTGTTCTTCGCGATATCGGCACACATGTTTTACACATTGTGCGGTCTTCTGGTCGTACGTGGGCCCAGCATTCTGCAAATTTCTCCGACGTCAAGAAACAACCACTTCGGGTGGAAGAATGAACCTCATCGCCCTCGTGTGGGCCGGTCTTGTGGTTCTTGCTTCAGTGCAAGCCGAAGATGGATCTCAAATGCAAATGCAAACTGAACAGATCGAAGTCGGCTCCCCCGAATCACAAACTGCCTCGCAAGAGCAAGGTCCTATTGAAACACCGGAGCCGACCATCAAGTACATTGACTTCAGCAAGTTGACTCAAGCCCCTTCAGCTACTGTCCCCCGAAACGTGACGAAAGGTACGCAGAGGCCGGACCCCCGCCAAGAACCACCGACACCAGAACCTACGCCCGCCCCAACGCCCGCCCCAACGCCCGCCCCAACGCCTGCCCCGACGCCTGCTCCGACGCCAGACCCCGGTCCGTGGGTGACGAAAACCATCGGCCACGATGAAGTGAAGCCGTTCCCTCAGCCCGAACCGGTCACGATTTCTGAGAAGGCCGGTGTCAAGTTCAAACCTCAGATTCAAATCCGCACGGGATGCGTGCCTTACCCTGCCGTGAACGAGCTTGGTGAGACCAGTGGCGGTCTTCAAACTTCTGGTAGTCCACGAGGCGGGTGCCGAGGCTCCGGCCACGGTTCCCAGGTGTACGGTCGTTCAACGTGGATTGAGGGTGTGTGGGCCATCATGTACTCGTGGTATTTCCCGAAGGATTCGCCATCATCTCGCATGGGTCACCGTCACGACTGGGAACACGCCATTGTGTTCATCGACAACCCTGAAGTCGCAGAACCTAAGATCCTTGCCTGCTCGGTGTCGTCCCATGATGGCTACAAGAAGTACAGCCCGTGTCCGCCATGGGTGATTGACGGCACCAGCCTCAAGGTTCGATACAAACACGCCTGGCCACTGAACCACGACCTTGATACTACTGGCGACGCTGGTACATTCCAAGACCTCATCATGTGGGACCAGATGTCGAATGACGCTCGTAGAGCTCTCAATTCGGTCCACTTCGGCAAGGCTAACACGCCGTTTAATGATGGCAACTTCCGCCCGAAACTGGAAAAGGCCTGGCCTTTTAAAAAATAATTCACCGGTAGCAAGGTGAATACACTAAAGAGAAAACGTAGTCCGCTTCCTCTTATTGTTGTGCAGCTTTTATCGTAACTTGTCACCCGTAGACCAGACATCCTAAAAAAAAACATAGTGGTATATGCGGACGAATGAGCCTGCGGGAATACACATGCTCTTCGAATGCAAGTGGCTTTGTCTCCTCCACCACGATACATATTACTATTCATCATCGCTATGCATTCACCCCAGCAATGGCAAACTTTTATCGGTTAAAGGAACCAAATTGGTGCGGTCACCTGTCGACTGAAGACCGCAGAGGATCCCCGTCATTTTATATGCTGATGCTGCCAAAACGATAATGATCAATCCGTTCTTTATTTTCACGAGCTGCGTCTTCATTCTACATTACATGTTTGCCGCGGTTATACATGTAGGCGCTACAGGCCGCGATGATATTTCACGAACCACTGGAAATCAAGAATCTCCACACTGGCAGTACGAATCTCTTCATGCTTCTGTGGAATTCACAGTGTGGATGGATCTTGCAATTTCTGTTTCGATGCAAGCCCAAGACGCTGAATCAACAAAGTATTTCATAGTATACTAACTCCAGCAATTTGGCTCTCCCTCAGGCCGGACACTGTCCCAGACCTTACCGACGAGGCGTTCAATGATGGCAACTTTCAAACTAGATCGTCTGCGACTTACACTGGGAATACCCCCCCCTCCCAAAGAGAATTATGTATAGTCCTCTTTCAGCAACAAATTTTGTTAACAGATTTTCCATCTTTACATTAATGTCGTACGAATGTCGACCGAGGT